GCCCTGGCGTGGCTGTCACTCACTTGTTGTATTTAAATGAGCGCGCCGGAATGCGAGTTCTCTCTCTCTCCTTTCCATCTCCTTCCTACCTCTCTCGACGGCTAATTAGCGAAAGTCCGATAGTGCCGAAAGGATAGGAGTTAAACATCAAGTAACGAGATTTATCTTCATTTAATAACTTTTGTTATTATTTTAGTAGGACCGGAACCTCCCGACCTTAACCGATGAGTCACATCAGGTCTCTTCTAAAGTGGTAAGGCCTAAATAACCAAAAGAAACAGTGAAATGGTGGTACCGGGTGTAACTGTGAATACGCAGCAGTGTTGTGGGATTGCATACCCAATATGGCCGCAAGGGGCATGGCCCCTTCCCCTTACGGGTGCAAAGATTAGGCAAACCCACATGCCGCGTGCACTCTCATCCTGTTACTGATTTTTTTCACCTTTTGTCAGTATTCCTGCTGCGCAAAAACCTTTATAAGCTACTGATAACTGAGCAGTTTCATCAGTAATACGAAAAAAATTCTTTTGTAATTACTGACAATTTCTTCTTTTATCGGTGAGTTACTTACAACGATATACAGAATAAGTAACAAATTAGTCAGTAATCCTGCTGCATAAAAACCTTTATAAGCTACTAATAAATAAATCAGTAAAGGTCTGAGAGTGTGTGTAGGCCTCAGGCCAACTCACACCCTTTAACGCCTTTTGCAATCTTCAGTTGTCCCCCAGATGGGTTGCTGAAGGGCGGAGAAGAGCAGGGGAGCGGGCGCTAGGAGGGGCTGCTATGGAGAGGAAAGAATCGAGGTAATTTTATGCTGAACAGAGCAGCAGGCAGAGACAGCCGGCCCAAGAAAGCACGAGAGGGAGGGAGTGAGGAAGAGCGCGAGAGAGGCCGCGGGGGATGGCTAGTACAGCGCGCAAGTTAATTGGGCGATCAGTTGTGTCGGAATGATTTACCATCTCGGCCCAGTCGTGATATTTTCTACTCGCGGGCGATGAATTCCGCCATTATATTGCTTTCTGTTCGTTTTTGTTTTGATTGCACCGCCCGCCCCTGCTCCCCCTCGGCACCGCAGAAACACGAGGAAAACAAGACGACTTTGGCCTCATCTAAATGAAGTGCCGAGAGAAACGTCAGTTCCGTGTGCAACGAAAAGTTCCCAACTTTTACTAGGAAAACACTAGGGTAAGATGCCCTATGATGGCCACCTTAAGAATGAGCCTGCCCAATGGTGGCCACCCCTTTTTCTTGTAATGTAGACAACGATGTGAAGTAGTTTGGCTTATTATGCCCAAGTAGGGATCTTACTAGAACACTACTTCAAGGCCAAGATTGTAAAGCGACCAGATTGGCTGGAAATCGAGAAAAGTGGCCATCAATAGGACAGTGGCCATAATAGGGCACCTTGCCCTATTGAGTTGGAAAAAAATAAATGAATATAGGTGAAAACGTTTCTAGAAACCCAAATGCGAGGCCAGTTCTTCAACAATTAGTACAGAGCAATATTAGAGTACTAAGGACAGAAAAAAAAACTAGCCCATGTTTCTTGACTTGCCTGAAATTGTCATGACAAACTTTTTTACTTCTACCACTATTCACGCTACAAGCAAGTTATTTTTCTTTAAGTGAGGACATTGTTATCAAAATTGTAAACCTTTGTACACATATTAAGAATAAATTTCTTTTCGAGACTTTTGTGGTAACCTCAAGACAACTCCGTTGCCAAGTTTTAAGTTTCAAAAAGCACGTTTTTCATCGATCATTGAAATGTGTGGTTTCAAAATGGGATTCTTGTAAAGGAACAAGAATTTCGCTACTTGTTTGGGTGTAACGGCACGCAGTAGTAGTCATTCGCTGCAGACACCTTTGACAGTGCCAAAGCGCCGACGGTGGCCAATTGAGCGAAAGGAATTCGAGCGAATCGCGCCGACAATTACCTTCCTCAGGGAAGGGTATGAGTAATCGTGCGCCATCAGTCAGTCGGCGCAGGAGAGAGAGAGAGAGAGAGAGAGAGAGAGAGAGAGAGAGAGAGAGAGAGAGAGAGAGAAGCTTGACGCAGTGAGGGTGCGAGGTAGAGAGCGGTGAGCCGAGCGGTGAGCGGACGCACACCGAACGGGCTATCCCCTTTAACGCCTGTATCGCCGATCCAGCAGCGAGCCGGTGCCGCCAGGTGCACCAACACCGCAGTCATTTGTTACTCGACGACACAGTTGGCAACACTTCCACACACTTCCAATTAAATCATGCGATACGTTGTTAAAATTTTTAAATCCAACGCACGCAACCTTATAACGCTTAACAACGGTTAAACTAAGGGGGCAGGATTCCGATTCCGATCCATATCGTTAACCTCGACAAATCTGTACAACTAGCAAGCAAGTCCGTTCAGTCTCTGAGGATCGGCACATTGCTCTCCTCACTTGTACCTTACACTTCGAATCTGTTCCTCGATACACTGTCAAAACAATTGTGCCCAAGTACAACAAATGGATGGTATGTTTCTAGTGTGAGGTACACGATCGCTGTACTTTTTTGTTATAGTACCCATAAGACTCCATGATAAGAGATATTGTACTTTGTACCTCAAAATGTTGTACTTCACCAAGTACAATGAGATCAGGCAAGGACTTGACCAGTGGCGTGTTGTGCTTTTTGTCTGACAGTTTGGCTGACGTCACTCACCTTCTTGGTCTTGAGGCTGTTGTTCTGCGCCTTCCAGAGGGCGGCGGCCGCGCTGGTCACGTCGGGCTGCTGGTAGTACTGGTAGGGGTAGTGGTAGGGCGAGGCGGGGGCGGCGGGGATGGCCGTCGGGTAGCGGCCGCGGCAGCCGCCCAGCTTGCGGCCGGCCTGCTTCATGGCCTCCTACCGGCCTCTGCTTCACGTGCCGCAGTGCTCCGCCACGGCGGCGCGGCGCGTCGCCTTCAGCCCGCCGCCGCGGCTCGGCGCGACACACATTTGCACGGCGGGGCGCGGCAGGGCGGCCCCCCTGATGGAATACAAATGGCTTTATTTCCGGCCGAAAGCGAGGAGGAGTCGAGGCGTCTGCTCCGATCACATCTTGTATAATGGGCGACGGGCCCTTCTCGCCTCCTCCTTCACCGCCCCTTCTCCGTCGTAACGCGAAATAAAAAAGAGAGAGAAAAAGGTCACGGTGGTGATGCCATATTGATGTCACCGACATGTCACGTGCAAGAGTCGGGAATACGTCAATGTGGTGCCACCGTGACGCAAATATGACTCGTACCACAGTCTTTCCCAAAAATTATACAACGATTACACGCTGCACTAACAATAGTGCAACATCGGTAATACACTGTTAACACGCTCCGGCAATATAGTCCTGGTTTTGGCCCTTCGTCCTCAGTGCCTTGAGAACGCCACCGCCGACAGCCCCACTGAGACTCGGTGAAGCTCCCTCCACCCCTAGCCACCTTCTTATTCCAACAAAACAATAACCAAAACCAACCACTCGGGGGAGACAAAAGGGCGGCCAAGACAAAGGCAATCGCCCGGGCGTTAAACGGACGGACCACGGCGCCAACCTACACTCAAAATAAGTGTGCCTTATTTCCCGTGTATATGTCATTGCTTCGTTTTCTTGAGAGCACACTGGTAAAACAAGTGTGCATAATTTAAACACCAAGTTGTGCAAGTTGTGATTTTGAACATTACATGGTGTTTCACTCAAGTTGCACACATGCGTGGTGTGCACATTTCAAACGTTTTGTAAAAGTTTAAGCACCAACTCACGTTTAACTCTGGGGGTTTTCTGTGCATTGACGGCCACTTTTCGCGAAGACAAACGCGCAACAGTTTCCGCACGCGACACTCTTACAGCCCCCCAATAAGCGCGGCGGTCGCTTTAAGGCGTGTAATTATTTAGCCCCGGCCGGAGGGTCGCGTTCCGAATGAGAAAGTAAATTCAGGTGAGGGGCCTAAGTGCGCGAGGGCGGATGGTAATTAGGGGCCAACGATGGACGGCGCGCGATACGTATTAATAGCGTATTAAAAACGCATAAAACAGCGCCCGACGGATGGAATAACAACAACTTGTTTTTGTTATTCTTGTTGCTGCTGCTGCCGCTCATGTTGTTTTTCAACGCGGCTACCGCTTGCGGCATTAAAGAGGAAGACAGTGTATTACACGCAGAAAAGTTATGAGCTGCGACAGTTCGTTCAGCGACCACCATCTAACCGTTCTCACAACTCACAACCATTGGGAATGTTGATGGTAGTCCTTCAGCTAACTATATACGCTGTGTCACAGCTCTTCACTTTTCTGGGGGTGCGAAGCGCATATTCCCAGAAGAAGAAGCAGGCCAAATACGAACAATTATTCTCGCTGAATATAAAGATGCGGTTGCCTCCCGCCCGCCATAACCACGTGCAAATGTTTCCGCAAAGCCATCCCGCCCGAGTGGCGCAGAGCACCCCTTTGCCGTATACTTTACGGCGGGATTACGCGTCACCCAGACGCAGCCGCGCTGGTCTTGGTGGGCTTTCAGAAACTTTCAGAATATTTTATTCCGCCCGGATTTCCATACGCAGGGCTGCCAGCGGCTCATAGGTTTAAAAAAAGTGAGAAAAGTGAGTGACACCTTCAAAAAAGTGAACAAATAGTGAGTATTTCAGAGCGATAAGTGAGGAAAGGTAAGCCATAGGTCTGTAAAATAGGCATCAATATCGATAAAATGTGCACTACGCGATGTAAAAAATAGATACTTTTAGTTATATGGGACATAATACAAAGTAGGGAAAACAAAAAACCAATTGAGTTACTGACATACTCCCGGTCGGGAACGCAAAATAGAAAGTAAATTCGCAAAGAAGGGGGAGGGGGAGGGGGTGGGGGTGACTTTGCCTTCCGGTAGAGACAGTCCTAGGCAATGTCTAAAATGTACACCTTGCATCCGCGTTGCGGTCACGTAGCCACGACGTGGCATCGACACCATTTTTACAGACAATTTAGTTCAAGCTTTATAAGGATCAGAACTCATTCGTGATTCAAATTAAATTGCAAATAATAATACTAACTGTTTCAAGCATTAATTTGCGAGCGAAGCGAGCGCGAAAATTGAACAAAGGGCGCTACAGTGTGCATTAAGGCGTGATTTGCATTGGTTACCCGAGCAAAATATATGCGAGCGAAGCGAGCAGAAAATGTTTTGAATCATAGGGCACGAAAATATCCCGTTAGGATGCTGAAATATGCCTTCGCTAACGCCAAAATGCAACAAGGGTACACCTTTATGGCGGAATAGGTGCCCCCGAAGACCAAAATAGTGAGAATAGTGAGTTTTTACCAGAACAGTGAGTAAAAGTGAGTTTTTTCAAAAAAGTGAGAAATAGTGAGAAAAGTGAGTCGCTGGCAGCCCTGCATACGCGACGCCGACTGGACCACCCCGCCCACCGCCCCCCACTTTTTCCCTTCTATATTTTACTTTTCCATGTCTCTCAGACAAATGGCAGGCAATAGCCGCACGATATCTGCCGCATCTCGCGAAAATGCTATATAAACTTGCATCTACTGTCTCATTTTGAGGCGGGGGATTCCCAAATATTTCTATTATTTGCGTTTCATGACGTACTCTCTGGCACCATATCTGTAGTAGTTAAAGTTTACTAAACCGCATCACTTTTATTCCCCTCGTAATTCCTCCGGAACACTTGTTTGAGTAATAACTCGAGGCTGGCGCAGGAGGGCCGCCTCCGAACAGCGCACCTGTCGCGCTCGTCTCGGAGGCGGCCGCGCGGCCTTGCACTGCACCCCGCCACCGCCCGGGCCGGCCGGCTGCTGCTGCTGCTGCTGCTGCTGCTGCTGCTGCTGCTGCTGCCCGCTTTGGGTCGTTCCGAAAAACTTTTCATATGAATTAGAACAACTTTCCGGGGCGCAGGGGCAACAACCACATCACAGACTCGCCATTTGCGATAACACACCCGGCCGCCCCTCCCCTACCGCACGCCATAGAGTACCCCC